AAGGAAGGGAGGAAGGGAGGAAGGAAGGAAGGAAGGAAGGAAGGAAGGAAGGAAGGAAGGAAGGAAGGAAGGAAGGAAGGAAGGAAGGGCTGATGGAGCAATTTGTTTACAGCAATGGCCATGTGTTCTTTCAAGTGCAGGTGCATGATTTATGCTCCCTTCACTCTTCTTACCCTCACTTCAGATGGGTGCAAATGAGCACATGCATAAATGAGAGCCTACAACCTTATGTGACAATTTGATGAGGGATAAATCTTTTGCCTTTGTTTCTCTGCATCTCATGATTAGAAATTTTTTGTCTTTTGTGTTTTGACTTTTCTATTGAAGTAGCTTTCAACTCACTTGTATGAACAGGAGTAATAGTTATGACAGATAAACCTATCTTTTTTGTGTTGCAGTAGTTACATACCAAAAAAAGACTGAATCACAGAATCATTAAGTTGGAAAAGACCTCCAAGATCAGCAAGTCCAACCTTTGACTGATCACCACCTTGTTAACTAGACCATAGCACTGAGTGCCAAGACCAGGCATTTCTTAAACAGCCCACTTGTTTTTCTGCCCTAAGTGAAGTATTAGCATTGTTTTGGTTCAATAACAGAATAATTGTCATAATATTTTGCATCTTCATAACACCATTCAGTCTATTCAAGGATTTTCTGTTCTAACATCAAATCAACAAAGCCTTTATGTTATTGCCACTTTCCTGGTTCTGCCTGATGTATTTTTCAGAGTAAGAGACACTTTTATTTACTTGTTTTTTTTAATCACTCCAAGGCAATGCCAGCATTAAACAAATAATGGAAATGTTTTATGAATGGGAAAACTGTACGTAAAGATCTCTGTTAAAACAATCAATGCAGAAGGCAGGCTATCAAACTACCCTTCCCCTTCTATATAGCGACAAAATCAGAATATTATTGAATTGTAGGGCTGGAAGAAAAGTCAGGAAGTCAGGATGGTGCTGTGCAAGTACCAGATATTCTGAATCATTCCTTGCAATGTGGCTGGACATACAACAAGCTCATTGCCAAAGGCAGGGCCAGGAAAAATGCATATTCCAGAGACGGTGCATGTTGGCATTCTCTGGCTCTGTGACCAGTGGCTGCAGGCACACTGTTACCAGACACACATCTGTCACACGAGGGGGAGTGCCAACATTTTAGCTGTCGAACACATACCTATGGCACTACCTGGCATTTGCAGAGCCCTCGGGGAGGGGAATCACAGAATCAGTAAGTTGGAAGAGACCTTCAAGACCATTGACTCCAACCCAGCCCTAACACCTCAACTAAACCATGGCACTGAGAGCCATATCCAGTCTTTTTTTAACCACATCTAGGGATGGTGACTCCACCATCTCCCCGGGCAAACCTTTCCAGTACTTTATAACCCTTTCTGTAAAAAACTTTTTCCTAATATCCAACCTATATTTCCCTTGGCTCAGCTCAGGACTGTGTCCTCTCATTTTGTCAGTTGCTGCCTGGAGAAAGAGACTGACCTGACCATAACCACCTTTCAGGGAGTTGTAGAGAGTGATAAGATCACCTCTGAGTCTCCTTTTCTCCAGGCTGAACAATCCCAGCTCCCTCAGTCGTTCTTTACAGGGCTTGTGTTCCAAGCCCCTCACCAGCCTCGTTGCCTCCTCTGGACGCGCTCCAGCATCTCAACGTCCTTCCCAAACTGAGGGCCCAGAACTGGACATGGCACTCAAGGTGAGGCCTCACCAGTGCTGAGTACAGGGGGAGAATGACCTCCCTGCTCCTGCTGGCCACACTATTCCTGATCCTGGCCAGGATGCCAGTGGCTTTCTTGGCCACCAGGGCACACTGCTGGCTCACGTCCATGCACCTGTCACAAGTACCCCCAGGTGTGTTTCTGCCTGGGCACTGCCCAGCCACACCGTCCCCAACCTGTAGTGCTGCAGGGGGTTATTGTGGCCAAAATGCAGGACTTGGAACTTGGATTTATCAAACATCATCTTAATGGATTCTGCCCGTGACCCAATTGTTCCAGGTCTCTCCGCAGAGCCCTCCTCCCTTCCAACAGATCAACACATGCTCCCAGCTTAGTGTTGTTTGCAAATATCCTAATGAAAGACTCAATGCCCTCATCCAGGTTGTCAATAATAATTTTGAATGGAATGGGCACAGAGTTCAAAATTACACCCTTATCACAGCAAATTAAGCTAATAGCTCTTGCATAACTGTGTGTGTCCATGGAAAACAACTTGATAACCATGTATAACCACGTATTTTATCCTGAGTTTTAACTCAGGATGAATATCAATTCCATATTCACTCCTCAGCCTTCTCTCTGTGACACTAGATAATTTCTGCTCCTCCTCCACAAGCAGGGGGGAACCCAGAATCAGGCCAGCACTCCAGCTGAGGCCTCATCCCAGTATAAACCAGTATATACCCAGTAAAACAAAATAGCAGTCTATTGTGTCCTTATACAACACTGATATGAATACAACCCACAGTGGCAAGTTCCTTTTTTTGCAACCACATTACCCATCCATTCGTATTCCTGTGTGATCCACCCCAACTGCCAGATGCTTTTCTGCAGTGCTAAAGCTAAATTATTCCCTGCTTGTAGTCCTGCATTTCATTTTCTTATCTTTGTGTATGCTGAATTTCATCTTACTGATCTTACACTGAGTTTTGACCTTATCCCCCAAAGTATGTGCCTTGGACAGCCTTGGCAGCATGGAGCTGGTGCCTTGTCCTTCATTCTTCTAAATGTCTGCCCCTCTCCAGTCCCATGGTTCCTTGCCTATCCTCTTACAGACCTGCAGGTAAATGAAGGGCTGGTGAAGAGGAACATGCCTCAAGACTGACCCAGGTTTAATCCCGGGTTCGTGCCCTTGGCCAGACTCTAAACCCCAAGAGCACCCGAGGATGCATGGGACAAGCCAAGCTGTGTGAGGGAGTCCCTGGTGAACTTGTTGCACAGGTTGGAGCAAGTACACCAAGCACTGGCAGGGTGTCCTTCACAGTCCAGCACACAAGCCCATGTGTGCCAGTCTGAAAGGTTCAAAGCCATGGCTTGTTCTTTGAGATACCAGGATGACAGGCTCTGAGGGTATTCTTCCTACTTCATCTCATTATTACTAATTTTAGACAACAAGCAAAATGTAGACACAAGACCTTTGTGGTGCCACTTCAGGTTGTACCTGAAAAAATAGATGCTTTAAGAAGTTTATACTCACATCAGAGGCTCCCATGATTTGGGCTTAATGAAGATAGCAATGGGATAGAGTTGTGCAACTTGTAGTCGTTTGATAGCATTTCCTGACACATCAAGTATACAGTGCTTGCCCTGTTGGAAACAGATGAGCATGTGTTTATTCTTGCAGACATGCTTGCAGATCAGCCAAAAGATAGGAAGCAAATCGGCAATGCAGTGCCCTGGAATGGGACCATTACTGGCACACCAGGGAAGGGGGACCCCAGGGCATGCGCTCCACTACCCTCCACTATTCTTTCTTTTGCTTTGGTGCCAGTATAAATACACACTGGTGATACAAGAACAAACTTGGGATTTATTTTTTACTGGGATGAAATTTTCAGGGGCAGGAGGATTTTCTTGAGATGAGGAAAATGATTTCATAAAAGCAATAGGATGTCCACATTCTTAGTGATTAATTCAGTTCTTGTTTATGTCAAAGACTCCCTGTGTCACCTGAGGCAAATAATTTAATCTTTGTGTGGTTGGTTCTTTTGCCTCTGTGAAAGTGATTTAGTTTACCTCCCTGTCTTACTGAGGGAAGAGCAGAGGCTGTTTTGAGAAGTACTTAAGGCACTGTGTTAGAACCCTGAATCCGCGGCACTACATCCAAGTACAGACAGTGCCAAGGATGATGTCATTCAAAGTCAGAGACTCCACTTGTGGAGTCATTATAAAGCCTATAAATATTAGCATGCCATTTTGCACCTATTTTATATTTTTGGCAGAGAATCATGTCTGAGACACAATGTGGAAACAAAGCAGATCATGTTGCACCAGCAATAAAACTACTATCAACCTACCCTTTCTGCCACAAATCTCACAGACTGGACACTAGTTCCATACAAATTATCATTGTACTGCCCAGCTTCTATAAATTTGTGCTCTTGGATGTCTTTTTCCATTTGTTCTCTTGAAATGACAAAATGATAATCTCTCCCATCCACTTCATAGTCACGCTTTGGCCGTGTGGTATCTGTGTGAAACAAGAGACAGAAGATCAAGAAGCAAAAACATTCAGTGCAAAAAATGCAGCCATGGTTTGCTCAGTGGGCAATGCTGGGTCTGCTCTAAGTGATGGCACTTCACATCTGAGAGCAGATCTTTTGGCTACTACATATTGTTTTCAACGGAGCTAGGACAATAAAGTTGTCTTTTTGTAGTAATACCTTCTGATGTTTACCTCAAATCAATACAGGCTAAAATAAAATTAGGGTTTACCAGAATTCCACCTTTTTCAGCAGAAACACACAAACCTCAAATATAAAATGCATTTCATATTTTAAATTTAATGTTATTATGATGATAAAATGAATTGTGATCTCATCAACTCAATTTAGCCATATTTATAAGTGTGATTCTGTTCTCATCTGTAGTAGTTTTAAGTTATTGTATTGCCAGAGACAACCACTTAATATGAAGTACAACTGCAATTAGGCCCTCAAATAAACAGCAAGCTCTAATGTTCCAAGATATAAATATTCTGCTTGATTCAGGGTCTAACACTGCTTTCTGATTCAACAGTCTATATCTCACACAAATCACAGATTATTCTGTATATTTATGGTGGATTGTATATATGTGTATATATATATATATATCATATATATGGTGTGTATTATGGTGGATGCTGGGCAATTGAGTTGAAACATTTCACATTTTACCAGAATTTCAAACTTTTCAGAATTTTTTTCCAGATGTTCATAACCTTTTTCAAAATTTTTTAAAATTTGTTACTTTCCCCTTTTGTATCTGACAAAAAAAAGAGTTTTGAGAAATGCAACGATGCATAGTTCATGGATGCTGCTTCCATAGAAACTCAGTTAATGTGTGACACCAAGGGATTCCATTCACTCAGCTTCAGTACTAGGAGTAAAATCATACTTACGTGGTACACATGACCCAAATTTATCAGGGAACTCAGATATCAAATCGTCATTGATCCGATCTTTCATAGGACCCAGAATAATAACTGGCCTGGTGTAATTTACTGAAAAACAAAAAGAAAGGCACATTTTGATGATCTTACCCACAATAACAAATAAATGCACCCTATAAATATCACTAACCAGATTTGTTGTCTTTACATATGAAGTGAAAACTTTGGTGCACATTTTATTGATGAATATTTTATCTACTGACATGAAAAAAGGCAATGGAATGAGAACCACTGCAGCACTCTGTGATGGTCAATGCATAAGCCACATGCCTATGTAGAAGCATAGATATATTTGCTATACTCAACAAGGCCACTCACAAATGCTCACAGATAGACTCTTCCATGAGGTATAGAAAGACTATCGTAGCCTTTTTTTCACTTCAAGTTATATGAGTGCATCCCCCATTAAACCAGATGGATCTGCTCCCATTTTAAGTTGCCTTTACATATGTTTGTCTGCCCTGGACAGTAGCACATACCACATGAGAAGCAAAATAATAAAGGCTTTCCATGTAACAATATTGCAGTAAATCTAGAAAATCTACATCAGTATTGTTTAGACTAATTAATTTTCTGCACTAGTAAAGTACATGAGAATGTACTGGGGAGAAGAGTCCTTGGAATTTTAAGAAGTCGTGGCTTCCAAGGAATACCATAACAGTTTTTTTCATGTGAAAATAGAATGAGAGTACAAGAAAAGGAAGGCACAGTGAATCTGGAACTGGCAAAGCAAGGCTTACCACTCTGCTGGCCCCCAAACTCTGAAACAAAAAACATAAGGATGAGTGATAGAAAAGAAGATAAAACTTACTTTCCTGTCTTGTGACAGGTTCATAAGAAAGGATGCAGTCCTCTTGGCCTCCTGATGAGACAAGAAAGAGAAGAGATTGAAGCTGATGAGCAACATGTCAGGTACTTAAGTTTGATAAAATGCTTCACATAGAGACAGACCAGGTTCAACAGTTCTCTCTTGATAAGCCTCTCACCTGAACCATTCCAAAGTCCATCATAACTTCCAGGTATGGAGACAGTTTTTTCCTTCCCCGCCCTCTCCCTCCATGTGTTTCAAATCTATTTGCTGATATTGGGCTTTTTTATTGATGTGCAACATGCCTTTATTTGTCATTTGAAACAAGGTTGTTTACAAGGATAGTGCAGCAATTTAAGATGCAATGCTTTTCATATTGTTAAGGCCCTAACATGTTGCTGCAGAGTAAATCAACAGGCTACCTAGACAGAAAAATTTTTGTGCACTGAATATATATATGTATATATTGGCTGATGGTTTTTCAGTGCATAGCCTCCATAATCTAGTGCATTCACAACCCAACATCTAGCTATGAGCTATTTTCTTATCCTTTCCCTGAACACAAATCACAGACTCACAGAATGGTTGGGTCTGAAAGGGACTTTTGGCTTCTGGAGATCATCTAGTCCAATTCTACCCCGCTAAAGCACTTAGAACAGGTTGTACAGGATCATGTCTAGGCAGCTTTTGAAGACCTTCAGCAAAGGTCTCACAGCATTATATTTTATACATTTGTCTTCCCTCTCCCTTTCAGGACAGTGCTGTTTCCTCATGGTGATATTTAGGGGACTAAAACAGACAAATTTGCCTGGAGGAACAAGGCATTCATATGGACCCTGACTTGGGCGCAAGCGATTCATCACTGTCCTCCCATCCAAGGGAGTGCAAGAGAACAGGGAGTAGGATTCTTCACCTAAGGCATGAATAATTCCTGCTCATTTCTCTTTCTGGGTCACTGTCACATATTTGGTACCACCTGAGGGCTCTGGCAGGTTCTAAATACAACTTAGCACAGTTTAAAATAATGATTTTATTTTTGCTCAGTTCAGGGCTTGTCTCTGAGAAGATCCACAGATGGGATCTTGCAACTAATTTAGATACTACAGAAAAAAGAGTATCATAAGGCATACCAGTGCTTTACAAAATAGACAGGGTTGCCTTTGTTTCATCTACTTGCAGGCACGTGAGCCTGTGTTATATTATTCTGGTGGGCTCCTGCCAAACCAAGGTGTGCACATACAGGAGAAGAGTGCTGCCTTGCTTGATGGAAATACCTATAGGCTTTAGAGGGGGCTACACCTCACCCAGAAGTAGTCTGCCTGCTGTCGAGTTTCCCTTGAGGCTCCACTAACTGTATTAACAAACTTTGTTTGTAAAGCTTAGCTCTCAAGTAGGTACAAAATTTTTGTGTTTAAATCTGAAGCTGACTCCCACCCCTTGAATCTGCTATGTTGGTAGATTTTATTGTGTGTGTGATATAGTATCTAGGCAGCAGTAATAAATGTGTAAGAGAGCTCTTGAGAGCTCTTCAAGTAAAAATAATGTAATTATTGACAATGACAGGAACAGCAAATAAAAAATTGTACTGATGTGTTAGGAGAGAATTGACAGGACCAACTCCTGCCTAGCAATGGTGCTAAAGCAGCAAAGGAGAACATAATTTTTAATAAAAGGAAGAGATTAGACATTTGAGGACAAGACCACATAACATACAAAGAGTGTGGACAAGGAGTTTTATTTTCTGTTTGCAAATGTTTGATATGGTAACCACTTTTTGGCTTTTTGCAAAGTTGGAAACCTAGAATTATTGTTACACTAGGTTTTATGCATCACGTGTTGGTTTCCCTTAAGTTTCTCAGTAAATTTTAGGGGTGATGTAAAACTCAGGATGTCTCATTTTTCTGGAGATGAAAAAATCTACTCCACAGGCTGGACAAGGATGGACACTGTCTGTCCTCTACCCCACAGGAGCCAAGGCTATATTTTTTAGCAGCCTGAGAAAGTCGGTCTTGGGGTGGGCGATGAAGCCATCGCATACCAAACAAATGAAGGGGAGCCTGTCTGTACAAATACCATCTTAAACTTGAAAATATTTGTTTCAGTAGCAAGCAGATCCACAGCAGGAGCTTCATTTCACTAATTTCAGAAACCTGAGGCTTGAGTGCTTATATCTAAGCTAGTCCCCAGATACTCTTTGGAACCAATGGCTGCCTACAAATAAACAAGTACTTATTCTAAGTCATGTCTATTTAACATGCCTACTTTGTGAGGAGAGGAAAAGTCAGAAGGGTGAATTTCTCTCCATTGTTCCCTAACAGCACGTAAACAGCAAGGCCAGATAGAGATATCTGCAATTAAACAGCAGAATCTCATGGGAGTGACAGTGCCAATAGCAATTGGAGGCAAACAGACTCTGGAACTATTGTTATTTTTTTAATTTTTTTCTTCCTGTGGACGAATACTTGGCTTTGGTGCAGATTTATAACCAGCACTGACAAGTCAGCACAGATTTTACTTTCTTTTTTGCCCAGTCTCTGGTAGACATGTCCCTATGCTAAAGCTTTTGGTACAGCAACACTTGCAGTAGGGTATGGGCTATGGAGAAAAACAAGCCTGTTTTACAGATGTCTTGTGAATCTGTGGCCAGGCTGAATGTAAAGAAAAATTATCCAGCCCACTCAGATCATGCTGAAGTTTAAGCCATTGGAAAGGGTTGCAGTAAGCAACGAGAAACTTTGAGGTTGACTGTGATATACAAGGACTTAAAGACAGACACCTTCCTGAGGTAATGGTCTTCAGCCCTCAGTTCCAGACCTAACACGGGAGTGTGAGTGTAGGGAAAAGCTACACCATTTCCACTGCTTTTCTTTTCTGGAAAAAGGACTCAGGAAGCTTATATTTCTAAGTGAATAAAATCCTGCCATGTACTGTCCAGACAAAATCCTGTAGGTCCTCAGAAGCTGTTTGCATGTTAACTTTACCAGATGGTACTATTTAATGATCTCCACTCAGTCAGTACTGCATGGTTTTGAAGTAGTCCATAAAGTATTAAGTATAATGATGAGCTCTAGAGTCAATCAATAATCAGATTGCTATAACCTTGTGATGGCTCTGAGGTGTAAGATACTGTGAAATCCATCAGGACACAGGCTCTTATCATTTGCCTAAGCCTCATTTAACATCCACATTAACAGATTAATTAGCACAGGTTAGCTGTATTGATCTGGAAAATCTTTGTGACATTTAACAGATAAAACAAAAAGAGAAAAAAAGAAAAAGACCTTCCTGTAGGATTTTGGTGCATTCCCCTGTTCTTCAGTAAAATCCCATCAAGTCAAAAAGAGAAGAAAATAAATAAAATAAGGAAACAGAAGACAAAAAAAGGGAAAGTCTCCTAAATGCAATATACTTATGGGTAAAATTATTGGAGAACTTTCACTTTCTCAGGACCACTCCCTGCTTCCCTTTGCTCTTAGTATGCCTGTTGGTGTTTTCTCATGCTTGGGAATAGAAGAATAACCTGGAGTTTGTTATAACTCCTAACCTCTATAAATTGGGCAGCAAGGTCCTGTGCTGCCAGTTAAATTTCTTAAGTAGTATTAATTTAACCTTTTTAAGGGATTTTATAGGGTTTCAGATGGGTAGGATGGATTGAAATGGATTTAGTGTGATGCCTCTGTTTTTCCTTTCTGATTAGATGGCAGAGAGCCTGTGAAAGACTCAAAACCAGTTTCATTGTAGACATGGTAGGTATCAGGCATTTTTCATGTAACACATAAACAGGCCCCTTTTCCTACTGCCTGGCCAGAACATCCAGGGCTTCCACAGGTCTGGTGGACCTGCACCCATCATGTGAGTAACGGGGTGGGAGAGCTGCTGTGAGCTGCCATGGGGCAGCCACCATGTAAACAAACACTCTCCCTCATCCAGCAACTCATGCAGTGGAAATGCATAGATTTTGGCATCCTATAAATGTTTGTGAATGAAAAAATCTGAACAGAGATAAATAAAAATTAAAAAAAAAAAAAAAAGTAGTACTAGTGAAGACAGCTAGAAGTTATTTATGATTTTAAAAAATCAAAGAGAATTTTTGGGCTCATTAAAATTTTTGGACTAATGGTGGTGGTTACCATCAATACACATTGAATTTCTTCTAGATGAGCCAAATTAATTTAATTTTCAAGCTCTTGTCTGAATTTTGTTGCTCATATGGATTTAAAATCAAAGAAAGCTTATTTTACTACTACCATCCATTAGGTTTTGGGCTAATGTATGAATTACCTGAGTTGTATTTGCAAGATTTTGGCAAAATAAATTTCTTCCTTTTTTTCTTTTGCACCGACCACACTGGACAATATCCCAGCCTCTATTTGGTTCAAAATCCCTTTGCTGGGGTCCTGTTTATATGAACACATGATTTTTGGAAATACACTGATAGCCATGAAAGGCTGGAAACCCAATATGTAAAAAGATCATCAGTAGTCTGAGCATGAACTTATGACTGAAAAGTTGTCTATGGGCAAAGATCAATACAGCTGTGTGGGTATAAAATGAGACTTCAGTACTTGTGCCAATTTGAGTATGCCTGAATAATACAGCAATTCTGTGGAGCCAATGCAAGTGCCCTTAATAATCAATAACCTATTTTAATAATCAGGACTACTTTAACCTTGTTCTGAATCTTCAAATCTCATTAGAGTGACTTGATGATGTGCTGACAGAGTCAAAATTTTTTTCTACACTTCTTCTTATTTTTAACTTTTAGTTATGCCTCTCTAGGTAATTGGTGCAATCACAACCAGTTATGCAATTAGACTAAACAGATACAACAGTGTGTGTGTAATTTTGAAGACAGCTGTAAAAACCTTTACTGAACTATGTGTAAGAGTGTTACAGCACATATGCAGGAGAGAGACTTGAAATCCATGCCCATTATGAAAATCATGTCTCACAAAATAAAATCTGATGAGTCCATAGTAAAAAGTCTGTCCTTACAAGCTTGGTTTGAAAAATAAATCAGAACATTTTAAGTTACAGAACTCAAAATAAACTTTAAATCAGAGTTTGATTAACTGGTCCAGCGATAAGTCAAAATTGGCTGCATGTGTCCTTATCACAAAAAGAACAACTTTCTGCTAGACCAGGACTTTATATACAACTCTGCAAACTTGGCTTTACTGCTGAGAATGGGAAAAAATAAACTACCATAGACTTCATAAGAGCATGGCTGTGTGATTCAGCAGCAGCTGTGTAGCAACTCATCCCCTTTAAGATCAAGCCAGCATTTGTTCCTGGCCCCAAAATACTTATAATACTTATATTATTTATAAAGAGTTGGATTCTGCTCTCAAATGTGTCTGTGGTTCACCCTGAAATTAACAGAACTGAGGGTTATCTGCTGGCAGAAAGAATATTCCACTGTTGGCTTCAGACCTACTGTTCATAACAAACCCAGTGTTGAGGGCACTGGCAGAAGAAATCTGGTTTAGTTTTTGCAACTTCTTGTGGCTTAGAAGTGGTCAAAGAATTTTCTTTTGAGACCACATTGGAGGACTTTAAATTATATTTTTGAAATAAAAAAATGTCTGACTTCTGTTTTTTTAACCCTGGAGACATAAGCAATACTTCAGCCAAATACTCAAATTTTTAAGCAATATATTTTTCTAAAAAGTAATGAACACATCAGAGCATCTCCTAGAAAAAGCCCAGTTGATTTTTAACCCCCTTATTCCTCACTGTCCAGGTCACAGCCTGGACATTTCTCAGAAGCCTTCAATATTGCTGTTTTGGAATGGTTCTAGGAATGATCAAGTAATACCGGTTTTGAAACTATCTACTTTTCACTAAATGATCATCATGAGAAGCAAAAGTTAGAGAAATGTGTTAAAACAATTGCCAGAGACACACTAGAAAAAATGCAGGACACCTCACTCTGGACTCCAACTGGCAGTTTTTATAGGGATTTATGAGAAGTCTGCAGGAGAACACCCTGCATTTGCCAGTCATTTCTTACCCACACACATTTTCTTCTGGACAAGGTGTGAATTGCTCATTTCATAGAATCATAGAAGCACAGAATCATTTAGTTTGGAAAAGACAAGTCCAACTCTGCCAAGTCCCACTAAACCATGTCCCTGAGCATGTCTTTTAAATCCCTCTAGGGATGGTGAATTAACCACATCCATGGACAGCCTGCTCCAATGCTGGATAGCATTTTCAGTGGAGAAATTCCGTCTAAAATCTAATCTAAATCTTCCCTAGCACAATTTGAGACAACTTGCTTGTTACTTGGGAGAAAAGTTTAGCCACACCTCACCTCAACCTCTTTCCATCTGCACCTCATCAGACTTGTGTCCCAGACCCTTCCCCAGCTCCTTTGCCCTTCTCTGGACACGCTCCAGCCCCTCAATGTCTTTCTTGTGAGGGACCCAGAACTGAACACAGGATTTGAGGTGAGGCCTCAGCAGTGCCCAGTACAGGGGATAATCACTGCCCTGCTCCTGCTGGCCACACCATTGCTGATCTAGGCCAGGGTGCCACTGGCCTTCTTGGCCACCTGGGTACAGGCAGGCTCATGTTCAGCTGCTGTTGACCAGCACTCCCAAATCCTTTTCCACCAGGAAGCTTTACAGCCAGCCACTCTGCCACAACTTGCCACAGTTCAGAAAGCGGTGGGGCAGGCAACCCCTTTCTTCCTGCTAATTTTCTGGGAAAGCAGAAATGGAAAGAGGCACACAGACAGAGTCAAAACCCCATGCAAACCTATTGATTCCTCCAGTAGTTTTCTCCATTGCCCATGAATTTTTCAGCCCTCCTTTTTTCTCCTCTGCATGTCATCAATATACTCCATGTCACCAGTGCACAGATTGAGGGCTAGATGAGTCTCCAAGTCAAGACACATGGTGTCCTTGCAAGATAACTTGCAGTGCCTCACCCTGAATACACAGACTCCTCTCAAAGTGACACTGCGTCACACTAAGGAACAACTCTGCAACATGGCTGAGTCCAAATGGAGTTAATACAAACTTGGTTCTGTAGCACTGGCTGATGATGGACTCCATTCCCTGCCACCCAGATGCAAACAAGAATAGAAGAAATATTAATTGCATGCTGTCTTCCTCTGCCAGGAATGTTACCTTGGACACTCATTTTTTATTTTTTTTTCCATTAGAAATAAATAAATCAGGAGACAGTGAGGAATACATTAGGAAATCTTCTAGGACTATGTCTGGTAATTATTCTTCCCACATCAGAGATGTTGATAAGCTTTTACAGTGTAGCATCCTTTCTCAGTCCCACAAAGTGAGAACTGCAGTGAAAAGAGAACTTCCTTTGACAGGCCTCATCTCTTTTATCTCCATCCCTCAAAATTTGTTGACTTCACTCTCTGACCACCTGCCTCTCACTGTCATCTGATTTTGCTTGGTTTCTGACATACAATGTTTCTAGGGGAGAAACATTGTGATGAGCTGTGCAATGGGATATGCTGTCAACACAGCAGATCTCGTATCTGAAGATTCAAAGACTAATCATCTGGAATCAGGACGGCTTTAATTCTCCACAGGAGATATGCTGATTTACCATGGCCACGTGGAAATCGAACACAATCAGGTTAGACTTCAGGTGCCACCATGGTCATCCGAAACAGTAATTTCCATCTGGGAACCACAGCTGCTAATTTGTCAAGGTCATGCCTTCAAATATCATGTTAGCACACACCAATGAATCCTTAGCAGATGAAATCAGGCCCTTTGGGCACCAGGTTCTGTATTTTAAAGCCTCTTTCATTTGACACAATCTAAGATGGGCTTCCTCTGCTCCTTAATGGCATAGCTATTCTGTCAGCAGAGAAGAAATCACTGCCAGCATCTTCTCCACCAAGCAGAAGCTGTTGGACATACACTAATGTATGGGAAAATCCAGCCCAAAGGATGCTGCTGGAGTGAGAGCAGAGCTTGTGCAGATGGAAACCACTCTAGAAGGAGGGCATTTATTGGGCATTTATTACTCCAGCACTACTTTTTCTTCCAAGTATATGTTCAGCTAACTTTCCCAAATAGTTTCTATTACCTTTCTTGCACCTCAAAAAACACACTTTATTTTAAGCTATTACACAGCCAACAAAGAATTGGCTACTGGGCCTGCCTTATGATCAAATTTGCTAACAGGCTTTTGTGGACATTCCCCAAATATCTGGCTGCAGCTGGGCATTCCTATTAAGCCTAGATTCTCCTCTGGGCTTTTACCCTGAGCTCTCCCTGAAATACACAGATCTGGATGAGATCTGACTTGTGCAAACTTTTGAAAATTTAACCCTTTGATTAATTTCTGATTGTAAAGTCAGTCAGGGGAAAGACCATCTTATATCTCCATATGAAAATAATAATAAAAAAATTCACCTTTCCTCCCAAGTAGAGGGCACATTAAAAATAAAACAGTTCAGAATTGGATCTTGACAATTCAAGAGTGCCTGCTATTTTCTTGTGACTCTGGCAATTGCTTTCCAAGGAAACCTTTTCAATACAAGAGAATACAAACTAATTTACCATTTCTGGATAGGATAAGGTTAGCTGTTTTGCTGAAACAAACCAGTGTTTATCAACAGAGCTCAATTGCTATGCCTTGTATCAGGACTAGTAAACATGAAGTATGATACCATTTATTACCTGAGTGTATGTGGGTGCCTAGCACAAGTGCTGAGTGACTGGTGGAAAACTTGATTTGTTAAGCAAATGGCTTGAATAAATGAAACTGGGTGATCTAGCAAGCACTCTGTAACTTCTGTTACACTTCCAGGGAATTTATTTAATGCCTTGGTTTTTTTTTCTGCTTTTCAGAACTTCCAAAAAATATTGGTTAAATTTACGGGCATAACTAAGAGTTACCCAGAACATACAATCTGTCTCTTTGTTATATGATCACATGGAGTCTGTAAATTCAAGCAAATCAGGTTGTAGGTTTGGAACCTCCACCTACATGGTGTCAGTGACAGTCAGTGGCAGTGCCTAAGCAGTGAAGATCTATCTTACCTTTTTTTAAGACAGTAGTATGAATTAGGAAATCTGTACTGTGAAAACTAAGGGCTCAATAAAATTTCTGGGACTGTTTCTTAGCCATCCATACAGGCATGCAGAAATGCAAGTAAAAATTGTGACCTTGTAAAAAGGATGCCTATTACAGATTTGATTATGGCTGTGCAGTAACTTTACTCTTAAAAGATCATCAAGAAACTACCCCCCACCCCCACTGAAATAAAGTTTTGTCACTAAATGAAATAATCCTGATTTGCATAGGCTACCCAAAGCCAGGTTTAGTTTTATGGCCCTAATACATCACAAGTAACAACCTTTCTCCCTTCTCTTATAAAGTCTGCCTGTTTTCTTTTATAGTTTTGTACTCAAGACATGGTCATAAATTTGAATTCCAAGCCATTTGCTCCAGTGATCTTTTTAACATTAACAAAAGAATAGCAAGGAAAGAAACAAAATAAAAGAAACAGAACAAGCAATGCAAAATAAAAGGACTCTAATGAAAGCAGTAACTTACTGTAGCTACTTTCACTATCGCTGGCATTAGAAGAAACATGTTCTGCAAGAACAGTACAGCAAATTAAAGAACATAACCAAGCACCACAGAGCTGCAGAAACTTAAAATAACTGCCACAGTCATGCAAAGGTAGTTATGCAGAGCAGAAATAAAAGCTGTGCAGTGACATCACCTGAAAATGCTCAGATATTTTACAGCGGTAAAATGAAAGCTTTGTCTTTTGTGGCATTTTAGAAAGAGACTGTGTGTATTAGCTACTGATATGTGCCATGGCAAAACCATGTCTTCTTGTGATAGACAGTAAATGACATCTCTGATAACTTCCTTTCAATGTATATGATAGTCAACTTGGATCTCACTTGATGTCTTGAGCAATTTCTTGAAATCCAAGTGTCTGCTCATATTCTGCACTATCAGTGATGTGCATCATTAATGCATTGAAACGATTCCTGCTAAACTTCTAACCTGTATCTATCTTTAATCACTGTGCACTATCCCAAAGGATTCTGCACATTGATTAACAGATTAAAGTTATTTCAGTATCAAACATTGTAACTGTATCTAATCTAACCTGTCCAAAAGGAAAAAAAGAAAAAAAAGCCAAAAAAAAAAAAAAAAGCCAATAAACCAATGGAAAACTAAGGAAAAAAAGGGAAGAAGTATTTTTCCAGAAATTGTCTAGCCTCAGGATTTGAGCTGGAATTTGAAAACCTTTACCAGACCAGTCTGTTTGGGTGAACAGGAATATAAGAACTATCATGATGGGTCAGTCTTGTGGTTTGTTAAGTCAGGTGTCCCGTTTCTATTATCATATTCTTGAAAGGAAGGTGAAATCTATATCAAATAATGTTACTGTTGCAAAACTGTAGTCAGCAGACTATTTATGAACAGTAAGATCATGCTATATGCTCTCCAGGAGGTCTGCAGGACCATATTAAACAGTGGTTTCTCTAGCAGAAATGCTGATTACTTTCCACCTGAAAGATTCATTTGGCAATTGAAAACTTTCCAGCTGGTCCAGGACTTTTAGAAGCCAATGGCATAATAGCTGTACATGTGTGAGCACCCTGGGTTAATGAGAAGGATAGGAACAGTGCTGAAATTCTCTGCAAGGTGCTGCCTTTCCTCCATGTACCAGTCTAATGGCTTAGGCTTCATAGATTGGGAATGATGGGGCTACTGGAGCAGCATAAATGACAAGGCATGATATCTCATAAAAACAGTCTGGGAAACCTTGACCTGGGGCTTAGGAAGATGCTTTTAAAAATTCAGCTTATATTTTGAAGAAAACAGCATGACTTTCAGACATTTTGTAGCAAGTTAACAAGGGTAATCTCAAAAGAATATGCTATGCAGGACCCTGAACAACTTTATTTAAAAATAACAAATATCCTTTATAGTAAGAACTGTCATTAAAAAGCATGTCTGAGTTGAAAACTAACAAAATTTGGATGGGTGGGAATGTCTAGAGGTGTACCAGTAATTTAAAACTAGGTGAAATTTTAATACAGTCATTACAGCCTATACATTACCTTGGTGTTACTTTGTTCCATATCAGTTTACAGAATTTAGGTAACTTTCAAATGGTTGGATGTTATGGACAATTCTCTTTTTAAGGACACATATTCAGAAGGGTTATCAGATCTGAAGTCTTTTACTTTTCTCTAGCAGGGAAGGATCTGCATTCGTTGCTAATGAGCTGCTATGACACTTAAATGATCATAGAATAGTTAAAATTCAGGTGCCAGTGACATTTGCTGTCTATCACTGACAAAACCAGTCTTGCAGAACCATTCTTCCTTGTACAAGAGATAAAGCTTTCATCTTTAAATTGTGAGCCACTGTATGGCATTAAGTTAAACCATTAAAATGTTCCTTCAACAATTCAGTCAGAAACAGAATTATCTCCAAAACTGTGTGCATGGATGTGCATTCCTGCAATTAAAAAGCACATACAAAACAGTAGGCAATGCAGCATTAACACACATTTTGCTCCAATTACTTGCTGCTTAAGAAAAGGAAAAACAACTGAGGAACAAGTAGCCAAACGCATGCAAGTGGCATTTTGTTTATATTATTTAGCTCTGGATACAGAATTTAATACAGCTATATATGTACAAATCAGCAGCAAATATTTCATTCTATACAGTTTTTCTGGTTCACATATTGAAGAAACAAAATTGTTTCAGAGCAATGATCTGACACATTATACACTCTGCAATACCAAGTCTTGAGACAGGATTGCTGCATCAGGAAAAAATGGATTAAGGTGATGTGACAGAGAATAGATTGCTAATGGTGAAGACTGGTCCAAAATTAGCTTTGGAGAATGCATGATCTTCTCTAGCCTGCAAATGACTTCTTCCATTAATAACAAATACTAATCTAAAAATTCAGCAAAGTAACAAACACTCCCATGCAAAAAGCTGAAAATGCAGAAGCAACAGCATAAACTAATTTTCTATTGATCTCCTCAGGATGTGATCATGTTAAAATGTTTAACTTTCCCTTTAGATGGAGAGGGAGGGATTGTTGCTGAAAAGAACAGTCTAGGCAGCAAAACGCATTCTAGGTATGCTACTCTACAGAACTGCCATGATGGGAACAATAATATACTGTCAGAAACAAAAGGTGTTATTACAAAAGAAGTGAAAGTGTCTGCTTGATACACTGTATGTTATTTAATACCATCATGCAGAACAGAACGATTGAAACATTTGTAATGCATTCACAGCTGGGTAACAAATAAAACTCTATCTTGTGCATGCTAGGAGTGGAGGGTCCTTAGAGAAGAAACGGAAGCCAAAACAAAACAAAACAAAAAAGGGTTTACAGTGACCATTCCTGGGAACTTACTCAGAGTCTTTGTTCCATAACCGTCGTCACCTAATCCGGGGATGTCCTGCACGGAAGTCCCCAGAGAGAGCAATGAGAAAGGAAGAACAGCCGCAGAGAGGAAGGAAGAAGTCAGTGGAGTTGAAATGGATACTACCGTGACTGACCATGTTGATTAAGCAATCTGGATCCCTGCCTTTTCTTTCTGAAACAAATTTAGACCCATATTCTATGGAAATTCAGCCAAAGAAAGGGGCAGTGACTGTGAAACATGCCTTTTGGAGCTGTGAGGAAGAAGGAACAACCAGATAAATAAAGTTCCAGGAACTATCCTCACTGGATAAATTTAGGACAGAATTATTAAAAAAAAAAAAAGAGTGAATATTTGGGCTTGGAACTAGAAAATATTTTTAATAATGCTGGTTCCCTATATAATTTAAGCAAGCAATAAATGCTTTTGGTGGTACATATTTCAAGATCCAATTTAGTTCTTTAAGCTGTTAACATGGTCGTTTCCTTTAATTGTTAAACTTCCAGTGAAGCTGCCCATGGAAAGCAACTTGGTGAAAGTCAAAGGTAAAAAAAGATTAGAAGAGATATTTTAAAAACTAATTAGTTTAGTATTTTCAAAGAAATCACGTTTGCCTTATTTTGAGCCAATTCTGATCTGGGAATATTTCTGAGAGACAATTTTGGACTTATGACAGGTGTCACCACAACTTTGAGGAGCCATATTTCCGCTTCCAAAAGTTAAGGTCACTGCTTTATTCTTCTGAAAATAGCATTTCCAGAGATGGAAGGAGAAGCTGGATCCAAACTGCAGTCATACATTGGTCACAGTAGTAATACCTCTCCTGCCTGCCTATGACAGATATTTGCCTGCATGTGTGGGATACTGGTATCATGCGTGTCACCCATTTGTTGTGCTGCTGCATGTGACATCGTCTCCAAGAGGTTACTTACGTTCTGGATCACTTGTTTCCTGCTCACTCTGCTCCTTGCTCTTGTAGAATGGGAATTTTCGTGAAAAGATGAAGTTCTTTTTACGCTTGTCATTGAATGACTGTGAAGGAGAAAAGGCATGGGGCAAAAACAGGGACGTCTAATTGTTGTCACACTCATGCTGACAAAACAACTAGTTTGTAAAAGTGGAGAGAACTGTAGTGACTCAAATCAGCACAAACTAAGTGGCTGCAAAGAATCAGAGGTGTGGTGAGGTCTGAAATTTGAAGGCAAAGCTCCTGAAGACTGGATCAATTCTATTCCAGAGGTCATAAGTCACAATGTACAGCTCCTTAGAAACTGTTGTGTTTTACCTGTTTGGATGAAGGGGTACAGATGGTTCAGCATGCTTTGAGATCAAGCCATCCATCTTTAATCACAGCAGACTGTGCACAGAATTAATTAACTATCTGAAAAGAATAGGCTGTAATGTGGAAAGCGGAAGCCTTTGATTTGCTTGTAGTGTGTGGATTCAGCCCTGTGTCAATTAAAATAAAAATTTCTTCACTGGTAGGTGCTGTTGATTTCATAATGTTTTATTTGGCCTCTATTGACAACTTCATAAGTGTGTTTTAATGTTTTTTCTGGGCATAATGATAAAAACCAACTTGGTTTTATTTTATAGATTTATATCTATGCATTAGGTTTCTCTGGATATACTTTTAGTTCTATGTGATTTAGAAACTGAATTCTGCTGATAAGCAGTATTTCATTGCATGTTGAGCAACATATTTCGCTGTAATTTTTCAAATCAGAAATGAATACAGATGAAATTGGGGTTTCTTACATGATAAAACCTTTGACTTCATAAACAATTGCAAGGACTTACACCACTATCCTATGTAAAACCAGGATATGCCTACTTGGGACATTTATTTGTGTTACTAAATAAGGAAATAGGGTCCTTATATAGTCAATTGAAAGAAGCTGGCATTTCTAGAGGGCACACAGAGCTGTAGACAGTGTGTGTCTGAAGTGATCTGTGCTGTCAGTCAGACAATGACCTATAATGTCTCTTATACTGAACATAAACACAGGACTTTGCAAGTGATGACCTCCAAGAGAGCAGAGACCTTCTTAAATCATTTAAAGAACCAATCTCAAGTGTTTGTCATTGCTCAAATTGAATATAACCAGTATTTGGCTCCAGTTCTGCTATGGAATATATTTAGTCTCAGCACACAATTTATTTTCTTCTATTTTGAAATAATGGAATAAAATGTGGTTTAAAATATGTATTTCTGAAAGATGGATACTGAAAATCTCTGTTGAAATAGTTGGATACTCATGTCACGAAAGTTTCATACCACTTTTACATTTCAAGCATATTTAAAGTTTAGTAACTGAAAACAAAGAAAAAAATGCACATGTAGAATAAATGATCCATGAAAAATCTCTCAGAGTATGTAAACATTCAATGTGAAATTAATGTGGAGGTCATGCACAAATAATCCAGACAGCATGCAATTTCAAAACAAAGCAAATATGAAAGAAAGCCAGAGGGGAAAAAAAAAAAAGCACATGAAGGATTAAAGTAATCAATGGATGAAAGGAGGACTGACATGCACAGTACATCACTTTAATGACCTAATGGATATAATTAAATTAAAATGTGTTTTCTGTGATAATTTCTTTTACTTTTCCAAAGAAAGGAATGTAGCATGTTAACATTTCTGTTCGTGAAAATGTTGTTTGTCATGATTTATCTGAATTTGACATAGTAATGCTATTGGCATTACACTTTAAAAGGGAAAAAATATATATATAAACAATAACACCTCAAAAAGCAAGGGGGTCTTAAAATTACAACCACTTCATTACAGCACTTTGGAATTCAAGAGAATGTTATCAAAATAATAAATAAATATGCTGTGTTTCACAGAAAATATATGAGAAATAACACTTATATATATATTGTTTCAATTTTTTTCCCCAACAGTCTAGAGCAAAAACTTCAGAAAATACATTTTCACCAGAAAAACATATTATTTGCATGCTTATGCATGATCTAACAGTATACACCAAATTAGACAGATATTTTATACTGTTATATAAACCTTTTCTCCTTTTGCAGTTTCTAGTACTGGGTTGCTTTTTTAATAAGATATTGTTCCACTTCAATTTGGATGATCAAAATCTGGTAATTCACAGCAGATGACTATCATGTGCAGCTATGTCACTGTATTTACACCAGTAAAAAGCTTTCTTCCTAAAATGAAGCTGATCTAGTTATATTAATATCCATAACCAAATATGTTTATGCATGTGATAATATTTCTTTAGATTAATCAATGTGTATATTCATGTTAATTACCATATATACTAGCATGGTGTAGTCAGAGGGTTTATATCTAGAATAACAAAGAAATTGTAAAACAATATAAAACACTAAAGTGGGTCTGACTCTACAAACTTATAGAAGTAATTAGCCCTTGGTATTAACTGAATGAGCTTACCAAGTGTTTATTTCCTTAAATTAAGTGCATGTTTCTTCACAAGGAATCAAAGACAAAAGCCTTGATTTTGGTTTTGTATCCAATATAAATGGTGTTAAAGTCAGGCTGAGGGTCTCCACCTTAAGGATATGAAATCCTGCTAACAACCCCAAAAAGGCTTCTTACAGGTATCATGATTTATATCTCTAATGCATAGAGACAAGGGGCTTGGAAAATAGAGAAGAAGGAGACTCACACAGAATAAAACCATGTTTCTGTTGCACACACCATATTAATTCCAGATTTTGCTCCATTGGTGGAAGAGCAGAGACCAACACTGAGTGTGTAATTTGTGTTTTAAGAAAGGATCACGTATACGAGGATCTGTGGCAAGGTTAAACTCCAAAATTCCGATGTATATTTGAGAAATTTTATTTCAATACACTGGAAACTTTGGACCTGTCAGAGCCATAGGCTCTGTATGCTTATGGAAAGCTGTGAAAATAGATGTAGGATAAATGAGACAGAGGTAACTGCCTACATCACTCCACCTGATACAAAAGTTGCATGCAACTGGAATTGCACTTGTGATAGCAAGCTTAGCCTGACTGAAGAGCATTTATGCAGGCAGAGTTTCTGAAAGTCAGTGAAAAAGTGCCAGAAAACAGATTCCTTGTAAGTTGCAGGTTCTTTGACATGATAATGTAAAAACTTGTAATGGCAAATAACTCAGACATTTCAGGAGGTACTTTAAACAGACAAGTGCCTAAGACTAAAAGGCAAATTAAATTTTCAAGTTGTTTGACAACAGAACAGTGACATCATTCACAGCACTTGATCTGCAATGGAAAAGAGTCTCTTTTCAGAACAGAAAAGTGGAGGAAAGCGTTCACTGATGTCCTGGTTTGAATCCTTGTTTGATAGTACTTAAGCACAGACTGTGTTTTGAAGAAGCCAAGAAAAATAATTGTGATGTGCACTGTGCACTGTTGCTTGACCAAGTATCCCCAGATGTCCTCAGTTATGTAAGCCTGGGTTACACATAGCAACCTTCCCTGGTTGTGACAGACATTAAACCTCTGCGTGTTTCTTCTTCTCAAGAACTCTCTTGGGTACTTTTTTGTGTCAACATCAGTTTTGTATTCTAAATGCTTTTCCCTAGGCTCAACAGACATATATATGTTACTCATCAGCTAATAGGGTAGTGGTTTTTAAAGGAAATTTTCATGTAACATTAAATAAACAATCCACCTAAAAAATTTTCTTTGTAGTGGTAAACATCACAAAAAACAGTCTCAGTAATTTGATAGTTGTACCATACTGCAATAGGCAACTATATTGTTGTTTACCTTGAGCTTCTTAATTTTTTTTCATAGTGTAGCAGATCCAATTCCTACTATTTAGCACCAATGTGCTCTTGACAGGGGTTGTCCTCTTTAGGCATTGCAGAAGATCCTAATATGTTGGGGAAAGATTTTTTAAGGTGCTCAAACAGATCTATTTTCTCAAAGCCAATAAACTCTCAACTCATGCTTCAGGAATGCTTTTTTTTGCCATTTCATTCAACAAATGATAATCCTCAGTCATGAGCTGGGAACAAGTGTACATGGCCACCTGAGAGAAAGCTGTTCCAGAGCACTGGCTGTGAAATTCTTTTTTACAGGGTGTAGATGGATTTCATATACCATATAATTTTAGGGAGGTTTGAGTTATACTTTAACCTAGTTTTTAAGTTAAATTATTATGTATGTCAGTTTTGTTCTCAGGTTGGTCTAGCAGTGTGTATGAGAAATTAATTTTACTGCTTCTCATCTGCAATGTGGTTTTCTTATTTTTCTTCTTTAATATATGACTTTAGCCTAAATTGAATGAAAATCCCTCATGTACTCAGCCTTCTACAAAAATCTACAAAATTTATTATCAACATTATGTCTCTGCAATCCTTTGCTCTATATTTAACACGTTTTGTATTAGGGAGATTCATTTACTCATTTGAACACTGACTTTAATGACAGATTGGACACTCAAACACTGTTAAACCCCAATATTTAAATATTTTAATTTTATAGATTTCTATATTATATATTTTCAATCTCTCCCATCATACCAATGATCTGCACTGACACCAGAAAGAAAATTTTTGGACTGTAACATATACTCAGTGTTATTTCTTCTTAGAAGCATATCTATCACCTCACTGGTTTTATGATGGGCTTTTTCACCTGGCAATCCCAAGCCATGATGAATTTGAAATCTCAGGCTAAATGACCTGACCAAGTCTAGAGGATTGCCAGTGCTATTGAGCCATTCTTTCTTTCCTGATGTAACCCTAAACTTGGCCATGGCCTGGGTTGACACACATGGAGAGCACTTCAAAGTGTCCGTGCAGACATGCAGAAGATAAGCTGAGGAGTTGTTAGTGGCAACTGTAAGTCTGGTTGTACAGAGATCACAGAGTACATTCTCTGAGATGTTGATCTCTCATTCTGCACACACAATTACATGCTGGCAAACAGCACTAGCCAACTTCACTATGATTTTTAGGAGATGCAAGGGGAAAGACATCTCTGATGTGTTACGTTCAGCCTTTACTTTACTTAGATACTTCAAGCCTGGGCTACAGTCA